TTGGCATAGCAGCGAGCCATCACATGGCCTCGCTTGACGCACTTGTAGCATATCACATCTGCATTGCCTAACTCCATAGGAGTGGCATCAGACTTCTCGGTCGACGGCCTGTAATAGGCTGTCGCCGAGGCGCTGTTGTAGGATTGCTTCTCAACTAAGGCAATTTCAATCTCCTCTTCCATCGTCGCTGGCCTCTTTTTTGAATAGGGCCTGACGCGATGGGCCGTGCCTAAGTCTATTGATGAATGTGGTTACCTTAATGTGTTCCGGAATCGGTTCCCCTTTAATGGACGCCGACAGCGAACGCATCTCCTGCACAAATTCTTGCAGAGAGCGTTTCGCCTGTCGTGCTCCAAAGAAGCGCGCCATAAGCAACACTTCGTTGTTAGGCGGCTGATACATGGCGCGAATCTTTGTTTTAAAGATCGCCCATGATGGAAATGCATCAGCATTAGCCATCAGCGCAGAGTATGCCCACTCTGACGCTTTGCCACGCAAGTTGGACATGGCATACGACACCATTCTGGTGTCGTCTTCGATGAGCTGCGCCACTCCACATTGCTCCACTGTAATAGCCAGTGAACAATCGTGTGAGGGCTAGTTCCATTGAGCTTCGGAGGGTCCATCCGAATGGGCCTCGGTTGAGCAGGCCAAGCAGAGAGCGTCTCAACAGTTCTGTTGAGCGCCTCATTACGAGCTTGCTCACGCAAAAGCTCATCCTGAGTCTAAGTGATGGACTCAGCGGTGGCTTCGCTGTTTACCTCGGACGCGTTTCTACGTTGTCCGAGAACAAACGCCTCAAATTGCTCCAATTGAGCAACATGTTGCTCAGGAGGACAATGCAAGAGGTTGACCAGGGCTTGTTCACCAAGTCCCTGCGCCATATGCTCTGCCAACTCCCTATGATGTTGGGAGAGGTGAGGGAAGTCACTCCAGTCCATATCAAGGACCATCACAACCACACTTACGCTCAGAGAGACGGGTCGTGGGAAGGACTACAAGTGCTACCAAGTGTTGACGGGCACTTCTACGAAGTTGCCTCGTACTACCTTATGCACAAGCGAGGAAGCGGTTAGACCGTCTTACCTTCGCGTGCGAGGGTGGTTGGGAAGTTGGTCGACTGCTTAAGCAGTCGTACCACCAGTTGCCTCTCGCTTAAGCGAGAGTGCAACAAACTTCTTAACAAGAAGGCACCGACGTCACGCAGAAGCTTTTCAACTTCTCGTGCGTGGTGCGTTTGTTTAAGTCAATTCAAGACTGAGCTTTATTAAATGAAGTTTATGATTAAATATAAACTTAATTACTGATTGGCTATATATATATATAGATTGGATACGCGACTCTTTAGAAGCGTATCCTGTCGCATGAACTTAAATCTAGATTTAAGATCGCAACTGACGTCCTTCTGAGACGTCGTGATGCCTAGCTTCAACTAGCGTCATCCCTTCTCATGTGAATCCATAAATGGATATCACATTCACGAGGGTGGATCACATTTGTGTATCGCACCCAAGTGACAGGTCAAAAGTAATCATGGATACTTTTAGACCAAACATTAAGTATATTACTTAATGTTTACGTGTAACTAGATGCCCTGTTACACCTTCGGTCACCTTAAGGTTTGAAAACAATGTGGTACACAGTACCCTCACTGGTACTAGTGAGTACGACCGACCTGAAGAAGCACGAAACCCCAATACAGAATAGTTGGCCACTAAAGTATCCGGCAGAAACGCCCGTTCATGGCACGATAGCTATGGCCGGTCAGGGCTGTGAAGGTCCTGCCGAAGAGGACATAAAGGGCTCTTATAATAACTAAACGAACCGGCAGGACCTAGAAAGAAAACATGTTTACAACGTGTCGGAAACATGAAGTATTTCAAGACAGGTATTATCTGTGACATACAGTAGGATTTGTGTTTCTTATAATAGCCGCACATGACAAAAAAAAGACTGATACAGTGCAGCAAGGCATTAGACGGATACGTACATTTTTACATTATTTAGTATAATCGCAATGATCTGGAAATGCTCAGTAACACTGCAGACTTCCACTCAAAAATCATGATGCCTGATGCAAGCAGTAGCTTAGGTTTGACCTTCCTTATGCTTCCGCTTCGGCAGCGACGGCTCCACAGAAGGTACGTCTGCTATAGCCTTATCGCCACTAGAATGTACGATAGCGGGCTGTAGCGAACATCTCTTGACGGGCCACGGCGGGGATGCTACTATCGCCCCGTTAGATGCTGCGCAATGCACACCCGCTACCTCCTTGCGGCCTTGCGCTCCTTTACTTTTTTCAGCTTGTTTTGTTTGCTTGGTAGTTGCCAGTACTGCCACTCATAGCTGCAGTCGAGACATTACAACCGGCAGCGGTACTAGCTGTCTTCCTTTCACGCTTGTAAGCCTTACTTCCTCTATTATTCGTAGCAGTCATTTGCATGTTTTGTACGCCGAGTAGCGTCGCAGCCGCTGCTCGAGATTTTTCCGCTTGCTCTCGCTTAATATCCGCCAGGATCTGATGCTGTTGCTCTATGAAGTGTTGCTTTTCCTGAAGCTTCTGCACATCTGCTAGCGAAACGGGATCTGGAGGGCGAAACAATCCCCAGCTGTTCACCGTTGACTGCGACTGCTGCGCTGGAACGGTGCCGCTACCAAAGCGCGCCTTCACTTCACGCTCACGAGCTGCTACTGTCTTTTCCTCTTCCTGGATCTCCTTCAGCGTCTTCGGTGGCAAAGACTTTTGCTTAGATGCTACCGCCGAGTCTGTAGACGGACTGTTCCATATCGGCATAGCTGATGTTAAGCGCTTGCCACGAGTACTTCGACAGGCCGGCTGCTTCAGAAACGCATCGAGTGAGAATGCTGTCACTTTTTCGTGCTCAATATCGTCATAGCCCAGCATGTGCTTTGATTTCGATATCGGCGAAATGGAAGACCTCGGCGATGAGTGACCGCCAATGCGCGCTTTGCGCTGTCTGGGAGTACAATCATCCATCCTACCATTACAAACTGAAGACTTTGGTAAGGGAAATGCTTCTAAAAAAGCGTGTGAAGCAGTTGGGCTTGAGCTAGATACTTGCGATGCAGGAGACGCACATAGGCCGTGGCCCAAAAATGACTTGTCTTCTTCAACCGTGGCATGGAGGCTCCACGGGCTACTGATGCCGCGTGTGGTCGATGCAAAAGTCTTGTCCAACAAAAACGACGCCGGTAAAACAAACTTATTGCTCCTCCTCTTGCGTCGTCCATTTGACTTGCTAAGCTTCGCCGGCAACGTTGTGAAAAGACTCTCACCATCGTACCCTCCTGCCACACTCTCATCCTTCCGGACCGGGGATGGTAAGCTCTTAGAAATCTTGACAGCCCTCTTTTTCTTTGCGTGATTCTCCCAATCATCAATAGGAGCTAAAACGGCTGACTTTTCCTTTGGCACCAATTCTTCCATTGGTGGCAGCATGATCTCAAAAAATACCTTCATGCGTTCCAGCCCTGATGTATCTAACACAGCGTCCCAGTTATTTTGCATATATTCCAGACAGTAGTTTTGCAATCGATGCGCAGCGTAGCGCTCAGCATAGTACCACACTAGCGCACAATTGTAGACATTTACATGAGCAGCGATTGTTTTTTCCACTAGCTCTTTCAATGAAGCAACACAATCCTTGCCAGTAACATCTACCGTAGTATCGAAATCTGGGCACATGGGTACCACCAGCACTGCCGTGTGCTGATGACCAGCTGCCACCGATATGGCTTTCTTCACACCAGCGACGCGCTTAGGGCTTGGCTGCCACGTGTTTTCACGCTCATGGCCCTGCTGGCCGCAACCCCAAGTCACAAGATCGCCTTGTTGGGTAACGACAGCACAATTGGTCTGGGAAGCGCAAACACTGTTCACAGTGCCATATTTGCATAAAGGCACCAATTGTGGTGTACAGGACGACAAAAATTTCGCTACAGTGTTCCCTGGTGTATCAGCACGCCGATCACTTAAGCTGCCGCTCGGTTGTTGCGACAGCGCTGGCACATTGTGCCCCCAAGTGAAAACAGAACCGCTAGCACTTAATGCAATTGAGTGATTCTGAGCACATGAAATATCCACAATATCCATGTCACGCTGCTTGCACGTAGGCACCCATTTATCACTCATAATCACCCCACTATTAAAGAGAACAGACGGAAAGTTTACTCGGCTAGGACGGTATGAACCGTACCCAAATTGCCACACCTGACCGATACTGCAACCATTGTGAGAGCAACGCAGCACTACACATGTGTGCCAATCCGAAAGTGCAACTTTTTCAGCTCGAACGGACTCGTAGTTACCATACAAAGCACTCATAGGGTGTAGCGGGCACAGTGCATCAACAATGCGCGGAGTAGCATCAACTTGGTCTGTGCCACAACCTTCTTTGCGTCCCAGTTGACCCCGACGATTACTACCCCATGTGTAAACAGAGCCATCATTCGTATCAATAGCGGCAGAATGACACCCTGATGCTGCAATGTCAGCCATCACGCGAAACCGGAAAGCGTGAACACGCTTGGGCGTAAGATTCTGCGACGACATTGACTTCCTTAGGTGCCCAAGCTGACCAAAGCTATTCGACCCCCATGAGAAGACTTGACCGGTTCGAGAGAGTGCCATGGTATGATTCTCGCCCGCAACGACCTTGTTTATTGGTGTAGTCGCCAGCGACGCTAGTCGTGTCGGTTCGATCCGACTTTCAGCACAGAAGAAAAAACTATGAGTGACATGTTAGGGCATAGTTCGACTAAGAACGCACTTACTCGAACTCGTCTCCGGTGCCAAGCCGGCCGCCTTTGCCAAAGCCCCACACAAAGCACTCACCCGCTGCACTAAGCGCAATGGTGTGGTACTTGTTGGCGCTTAGTTGTATAATTGGCGATCTTGCTGGGAGCTCTACAAGCCGAGGAGTCATTTGTACATCTCCATTTGGCAAATGATATCCCAGCTTGAGATCGTCACAAGCACAAAACAAGAACCAGTCAGCATCTCGAAGCCTTTGTAATCAAATGAAGCTTCTTCCGCACCTGGTAGTCTCGCTTTCCAAAAGTGTAGACAAAGCCGCTAACACATATCTCTGCAGCGTTTTTGGAATTGTTCTTGTGTAGTCTTGCGGTAAGCAGCTCCATGGGGCTCTGCTGGGCATGGTCGAGTGTTTCATGTATATATTTCCGCAGAAATGTCTTGCCGAAGCACGTGAGGGCGTGACGGATGAGAAATAGCGATGCTATTGGACGAACAGAGACATACATATTAGTGCTTACGAGCATACACTGCAGATATTTAGTACTTACTGGACAATTGCTGATGATAAAGACTTCGATGCAGTGGTGTCCATCCAGATTCCTGCTCAGTAACATCCAATTTAAGCAGAACATATCAGTGAGCAGTCTTTTTCAATGCTTTTTTTGCTACGCACCCAATCCGCGACCAGCAGATTCGCATTGTAGCAAAGCAGGAGCTGCACTGCTTCATTATTGCCGTGAGTAGCCGCAATATGCAGCGCCGTCTCTCCAAAATCGTTGCGGTCGTCTGGAGGTGCCCCGTCTCGCAGTAATTGTGCTAGAGCCGGCGTCGATTCGGGTGTCCTAGCGCAGGCCCATAGATCCAGCGAGGTATTGTGATCTGGGACTCGCATTTTGCTTGTTGTATAGTCTGATGGTGCTTTTAATAGAGCTTGCAATTCAACAGATTTTCTTCTATCTCCTATTCCCCTATCTTCACTTAAGTCTCCATGCTGGTCTTCTGACACACGAATGAGAAGGACACAATAGCTCTATGTCTTTCACAGTACTGCGTTTATGATGTAAATCACGCTAACGTCCCACAAGATGGACATTCTTTATCTATTTCTAGTTGCGTCTCATTCTGCAGGAAAAACTAATGTCGCACAAAGTTAGTAGCTCATACGAATAAATCGGATATGTTGTAATGCTTCAGCCGGTGAATTGCAAATGTGATGATCGAATTTCGGCATATGTCGACGCGATTACTAGGGCTGCTCGTATATGTTCAGGTTGCTCGTGTTTGTGGCGACTTTTAATATAGTAGTATGCACAGCTAGTGTATCGCTTCAAGACGCAAGATTGAGGGTGTGGCTGGAGTAAGCACGTTTTTACGAAATGTAAAAGGGCGAGAACAAAGGTAGCTGCTAGGTTGAAGCCCCGTCAGCGTCGATACGCCCAACATCCCTTCCATCGCGATGCTGAGCTCTATTAAGGGTAATTAGGACGACATTATGTACGGCATTGCCACGATCGAATGGAGGAGAGAGTTTATCGAATAAAGTTAAGCATCGCAAAGTTTCGAACTGTCTAGTTCGAACGACCAGCCGAGGAACCGTTCTTGACGCAGTGGCATTTAATGAGCACGCAACTACGGGGTGTATGTACACACCGTATTTTGCGCGTCTTCGAGATTATTGCTATTGTCACTAAGGCAAATGGTCTTTTTATTTTATATTTAAAGAAGAAAAAGGATTCTGTCACTGACGGCATCGGCTTCTCCGATTGCAAAGACAAAGAAAAATCTTGTTAATAACGACATCGCGCTGCAGTCACCGGCGACAAGTAAGTGGATTTATCTCGCGCGAAGGACGGATCTGATTGTGATGAAGAAGATGACGTGGCGGCAAAGACAGTAGGCTACGTGTGAAGACCATCCCATCGCTTATACCCACGAACCCGTCGTATTGTGAGAATAGGCTGTTTGTCCTGCCATGTTGTTCTTTTATAATTTCACGCGCCTATCTACATGAATGAAGTAAAAGGCCTGTAGAAGGCACCACTGTTTGCGGGCAAAGACTCTTATTAAAAATTGATAGGTGCCGATGCAAGTTGAAGTGGCCGTGCTTCCACTGTTTGACACATGCGTGACACATGCTTGACTACTTGCGTGACTACATGCGTGACTACATGCGTGACTTCATGCGTGACTTCATGCTAAAGAGGCCCTGACACCTCGTCATAGTCTCAGGCATTGTACTCTCGGTAGTTGCAGATCTATTGGTAGTAATAGGGCTGTCTTGAAGCGCCCATGACTCAAGCAACAGACGGTTGTTGCTGTGCCAGCGCTATCGACGATGATTGAAGAGAACGTTATTAAAGTGAAAACTGCATTCACCGTCGGTCTTTCGTTCCAAAAGACCAAGTCAAAGCTACTACCCCGTGCTTATTTCGGTGAGGCTGCTGCCGGTGCCCACAAAGGTCTCCAAAGCAGCTGCAGTTACAAATTGCGACGCACGCACGCTTTGATGTCGACGCAAATCCTGGTACGAAACGTTTTGATAACCGTTTCACTCAGAATTGTGGTATATGAAATGGTATGCCAAACCCTTTGACTCAGCTTCTCGATTAGCGCGCGTCCCCGTTATACTCTTATTCGAAGGAGATTTTGTCAGACGTGCGTGGGAAAAGACTGTTTATTACCATTATGGTTTACAAGATTTCTGAAAAGTTCGCAGCCATTCTAGGGTGCTGAAAGATATAATGCCGCTCGTTTGTACTAGACCATTTGAGGGGATGGTACCTCCGATCGTGTCCACTGCGAGATAATGCATGCCCAAGACTTGGACGCACCAACGCAGTTATAGAAGATATGGAGGATTCCTTCGTGTTAGGCCAGATGCCTCTTGCATGTCGAGTTCATGTCGCACCCCGGGAAGTTCACATCCAACTGATGGGGTAGCTACTCTGTAGCATACCCAGACCTAGAATTGCATTAATGTGTCCGTGTTCCCGAGATGTGTCGGTGATTGCGACATCGGGAAGTGTTGCCGTCCTAGGAGCCGTCTCGATGTTGTAGCCGAGTGACTTTTGCCGTAAGCGCTAATGTGGCTTTCATTTGGCGCTATGGAACGGTTGGTGCTGTAGCGCCTTGAAAGCGTGCATGTTATTGATATAGGGTGGGAGGCTCCATTGGAACCCATGTAGTTGCGGATGCGCTGTGAATTTAAGCGTCATGTTCCGTGTTCGCTGTTGCAGATTCACCAGCTCAAGTTGATTAGTTTCGAGCACATCGATCATGATCGATGATCCCAATGAACTCCGTTGTTGGCTTGACAGAGAACGATAAGAGCGAGGTTCCCTCCGATGCATGCTTGTTGGCGCCCGTGTGTAACATCCTGGCTTATAGATGTCCACGTGTACTTGTTTAGTACCTCAGGTCCGTTCCACAGCGTTAGCTGAGCCGGTATGTGCATTACTTTTTCTTCGTGCAGATGCCATACTTTTTTGTCAGACGCTAAACTGTAGCCAGTGTATCATTTCATGCTACTTTAAAGTGTCGAACTAGGAAGATTTGCGCATTATTCGTCAATTTCCAGCCCAGCTACCACGATGACAAGTCTCGCGCCTATAATTTATGGCTCATCTGCACGATAGCTTGCGCCTGTCATTCAAACACCGCCTACCAACCTACAGGGCGGACTGCTGCATTCGTAGCCCATAGTTATATTTGGCCTAAAAGCGCGAAACGTATTGCGCTGAAACGATCTGAACGCCGTCAAGTAGAAATCAGACGATGAAATCAATCACGGGTCTCGTCACGCCGGAGTTAGCCATGTCGGAGCAAGATGAGGACCTGTTGCGTGAGCTGGCAGAAACGCTTGCGGTGCACAATATCCAGCAGTACAACACTTTGCACAAGGCAAAGGACGGCTTCGCGGACAACCGCTGCTGGAAAGAGCTGCGACGCAAAGACGGCATGCGTATTTACCGGGAGCGTAGCCACCACAACGGCTTCCCTTCGACACCTTCATTATTGCTACTTGGCACGGTGGAGGGCACGCTAGACGACGTCATGTACGGCACCGTGGCCACCACAGACGAGGCCATCCGCATCAAGTCCACCTGCATCCAGGACGGTATCATCGATAGCAAGGTGCTGCACGAACTCGTGCGGCCCACGGTGGAGGACCCGTTCCACCACACTAGCGTAAAATGGCGTCTCTACAACAACCAACGTGACTATGTGTCGCTGGACACTACGGGTATCGCTCGCACGGTAAAGCGCGAGCGCATCGGTTACAGTATTTCGCATTCGGTAGCTTTTGCCCAGATCCCCGGCATGGAGGATACGCACGGCATCGAGCGAGGCAACATGTCGGTGTGCGCCCTATACCTTCAGAAGACCCCAACAACCGTCGAGTGCTACGTCCGCGGCTTTTTCGATTTCCACACACAGAATGAGATGGTCAACACCATGTCACTCCAGGCCATTGCGACGCAGTGGGCGTGCTTTGCGCGGAATTGTCGTTGCGCACTGATGAAGAAGCTGGTGTGGCGAATGCGAAGAAGCTCAGGCTGCACAAAGACGTTGTCCCTAGATAGCGACCGCCCAACGCTTGCCCAGCAGCCATCAGCACCCATTCGAGGTAAATGTGCCTTGTGTTCAAGGAACTTCGGCTTTCTGCGCGCACACTACAAAACTTGCAAGTGTTGTTTACGTCTCGTGTGTTCACGATGCTGCTCCAAACAGCTCGTGTGTGTCGTGGCTCCAGACCAGCGCTCTGTGCTTGAGAAAAAGCGAAGTTTTTGCTCGACCTGTCTTTCGGATGCAGCTAACAGTGACGCGCTCGATGTGGCCCGAGAGGAGCTAGCCAGCTCAAAAGCTTACCACGAAGAATGCGTGGCCAATGCTCAGGAAATGGCGCGGGCGTCTAGGGCTAGCTTCGTGCAGAGTGCTGTCTTTCGCTGCAGCCAAATCAACAGCCGATGTCACATCGACAGGAAATCCATGGTATAATATGGCAAGAAAGCGAGAACTCTACCTAGCGTTTGTGAGCTCAACCATATGAATTGTCTCCAAAACAAATACAAGTTGTTAAGGTTTATCAAAGAATAGTGAAATGACTTGTCGCCTCGAGTATTCACTTTTATACTGCAAATGCTACTTTCCATGGATCTCTGATGCATGTTTAAGTATTGGTGATGAGGTGCTTCCCCATCGAGCGTCTACCTCTTCTTCGATTCTCCATAATTTTTTCGCGTGCAATTGCCAACACGCTGGCCTCCTAGTACCTTCAAAAAGATTGTTGAGTATCGTCAACCGTTCGCGCTTTTTGTGTAGCAACTGATACAAAGTTGGCACTTATGTGGCAGATCTTTTCCGACACTGATCTTTTCCGACAAGTATTACATCACCGTTGTTAAGTTAAGATAGCTTGCGAAAGAGTTCTGAGGTCGTTCATGTAAATGGTGAGCGCGTACAATTGGACGATTCGACACTCTGGTAACAGTTCTTCCGCGTGTCCCACGAATCTTTTCGTCAGTGAGCACTGCAAGAATCCCCAATCTCGTTCTATGTTAAAAAAATTAGATTTGAACTTCAAATTCAAAGTTTGGTCAGTAAAACGAAAATAAAATGCATTTTGCAGCCTCAAATTTTGGAAGCTCCGACAACGCAACCGAATGTGTAATGCCTTAGCCAATCGCTCGAGCTTGGCTGCTCTAATTTAATAGGACTAACGGCATAAAAGTCGCTCTTTTGAGTCGTCAAGTCTGCTTTAACGTTATGGGAATCCGCATTGTGTTGCGCTATGATCATGGCGGTTTCCAACAACATGACAGAATGGATCCTCTGACTCGGGCGCAATACATCACAAAGTGCTTGCTGCTGTCGAAAGAGCAACATCCTGATCTTCAGGACCTCGTCTGTGATAGATGTTCTCGAGCAGACCTTGTTTGTTCCGAGTCGTTCCTTGTAAATGCGCACTTCGTCGCGGCGAACGACTTCACGCCATTTGAAGGAGTCAGCAAAACCGTATTAGGTAACGAACCGCGTGTTATACTGCTCAAACATATATCGGCAGCGTCTTGGTAAGATTATGCAGCATCCTTGCGTCTTGCTTGGTTAGCTCCAGCGCCAGTAGTAGATTAGAAAGACGCATAGTTTGTCAGTGGCAGGCTCGTTTGTTATTGACCAATCGAAGTGAATTGGCAAGTGACCGCGCTTCTTCTTCTTCTTTTGTCACTGTCGACAGCGTCGTTCGAAGTTTGTCCAGATGGGCGAGTCAAACGTTCCGGACGTAGTGGTGGTCAGTATTGTGAATACCACGATCGAGTTTGTTAAAGTGTGGGGCGAGTATCAATACGCGATTTAGTGTCGGTGCCGTCGGCACTTTGCAGATCAACGCTTAGCCTCATGCTTAGCCATTGGCACTGCAGGCAACTGATTGCTTGTCGTTGTTGTTTATACAAGTCCACTATTGTCAGGCACCACAAATTCAAGGTGCATATGATTTATTGTCTTGTTACAATAATAGTAAGTGCCAGCCAATGTACATGTACGACATGCATCTGTTGACCACAGCAGTACTGAGCCTACTTGTAAGTCTAGCAAAAGTAGCAAGTCCAAAGCGCCGAACAAAGGAACGCAACCTTAGTTGTTCTTGTTACTGAATTTTTGTTTATAAAGGAAAGGATGCAGACAAAATTCAGCAGAAACACTGGCCCCGAAGCATAACTTTTCCTGTTTGTTTCGTTTGCTTCGTATACACGCAGACCAGAAGTAAGTGGACTTACACGCTCATAGTTGCTTTTAAAGCCCAGCAGCAACGACCGAAAGTCATGCGATTTGTACATTTGTTACCCGAGCCCACCATTTCGAAGCAGGACTGCAACATGTTGCAACATCTAGCCGACACTCTAGCAGCGCACAATATCGCTCAATACGACACCCTCGTCGTAACTAAAGATGGTCGAGCTAATCCCCAGCGATGGCGCGAGGTCCGAAAGCGAGGCAACATGCGAATTTACAACGAGCGTCTCTTGTCTTCAGCTCAGTGCCCCGCGACACCGCAGCTATTGCTACTCGGTACCATAGATGGCAAGCTAGAGGACATCATGTACGGATCAGTGGCCACCACGGATGAGGCTATGAAATTCCAATCAGCCTGCACTAAGGACAGCGTTCGAGATAGCAAAGTACTCTACGAAATCGTTCGTCCCAGCTTCGACTACCCATTCCGCACAGTAGCGGTGAAGTGGCGGCTGTACGAGACACGCGACTATGTATCGCTGGATGCCACGGGGATAGTACGCCTACGCGGACAACAACAGATCGGGTACAGTATTTCACACTCGGTTGTTCTGTCTGACATTCCAAATTTTGACGAGACACACGGCATCGAACGTGGAAACATGTCCGTGTGCGCACTGTATCGCCAGAAAACACCCACGATGGTAGAGTGCTACGTGCGCGGTTTCTTCGACTTCAAGACAAGAAACGAGGTACTCCAGAACATGTCACTTCAGACAATCGCAGCCCAGTGGTCAGCCTATGCGCGCAAGAGCAGGTGTGCTCTAGCCAAAAAATTGTCCTGGAAGGTCCGTAAGAATTGCGGGTGGAGCTCTCGCTCCTCTCGAACGTATTCTTTCGCTGACGACATGGACGACTTCATCTCTCCAAATTATCGCCAAAGACCTTCAAGCTCCTCTACTGCGCCTACTCAATGCCATGTTTGCAATAAAGCTGCCAGCTTCTTTAAGTTCATTCGAGGGACCTGTACAAGCTGCGAGCTGCCAGTTTGTTCGAAATGTGCAGTCAAGAAGACAGTCGTCGCTCTCGCTCCCGACCAATGTACGGTGCTGAACCGGAAGCGCTCATTCTGCTTGCCATGCTTGATTGCAGTTGAGAGCTGTGACGTCATGTCCATTGCCAGGGAGGAACTTGTTGACCACCAAGAGAAGGAGGAACTCAACAGCGACGGAGTTCGACTGTCGTCCATGACAATCAACTCCAGTTGCTACTCAAGTCTAGCCAGCTTCAACTGACACATTTTGCCAGAAGTAGCAGCAACCTTGCATGAATAAAGTGTGGTCGTGCTCAAAGCGACATTAGAATTAAAGCCTTTGCACGAATGCAAGTGCCATCTGTTCTACCTGGTCAGTTTAGTCAATTGATCCATGAAGTGTCCTGATAATCACGTCATCTTAAACCATACTAGCTATACAAATGATGGACTTTGGCCCTGCCAGTTTGAGAGCCAGCTTAATTTCTTTGATCTTTTAGCTGCAAAAAATGGTCTCATGTAGGCCAGTACAACTTTTCCTCCAATAAGTTATCCTCCAATATGTTTTAACTTCCAAAACGCTACAAATTTTGCGTCCACCTAGCTCGTTCTATGGTCGCTATGTTTTAAGGTGTAAGTTGTATAAGCCAGGCAATATACAACAAAATACTCATTATAAAATGCGTATATTATAATGAGTATTTTGTTGTATTCTAGAAAAACCCTAGTAAAAAAGCACATGTGGAGGGTAGTTTGGGTGATAGGTGCGTTGAAGATGTCAAGTTGAAGTTCGCGAAGGACTCAATATGAAACTTAATGACTTTCCTGGGACACATCGAGCAGGGTGCAGGTATCACGAAGGAAGTTGATCTTTTCGGTTCTGGTGACCTTGTCTGCGACAGGTGCCACTACTCCATTGTTACAACCCTCCTTGTAACGGGGTTACACGACGGTTGTAGCGTCTTTCCGAGAGTTTACACTTAAAATCTCCTTTCTATTGCATATAATGCATTATTATACTTCTCTTTAGAGAGGTATTAAGTAAGAGCGTTATAATACGGTATTCGGTAATACCGTATCTTATCGATTGGGATTCGATAAATCACTAACGCTGTATTAAGTACATCATACACAGATGTTTAGAGACGTCGTCCAATAGCAAAGTCTGCATATAATAATTACTATTATAGTAATTAATCTAGTGTAGTGTACTTAGAGTAGGACTATTCACAAAATCTTAAAACATAAATAAAATCAGTTCTCCTTTTGAGTTTAAGATCGCAAGTCGTTCTGACTTGCTCTCTTGTGCACTTCGTGCGTTGGTTCTCTGAACCCCCAAGCTTCTAGCTTGTTCTTGCCCTCTGTGCGTTGGTTCTCTGAACCTTAAGCTTATTGCTTGCTGACTAAAAGCCTCTCCTACTTCCTTAGAAGAGGGTGACTTTAAAGTCGAATAATTAGTTCCTTAGAACTAAGTGGCTTTTAGCCTTAACTCTATTTAGTTGTCTAGAACTAAGAGGCTTCCAGCCGAAAGTCTTCTTCTAGCTAAAGAGCTGTGTAGCTCCGCTACACTCCTCCTGTGCTTCCTTTGCCTCTTCCATAATCTAGTTTCCGGTCAGCTCCGGCTGAGCAGTCTCATCCTTCGATGAATTAATGAATTTCCGAAATCGTCATGAGATCCCGGACACGCAGTTGCTCAAGCATCTCTTAACTCCTGTGTGGTGGAGCGGGGTTCGAGAAATTTCTGATGCGATACAGACGCTACACTGGATCCTAAACAACTGACTATCGTAGAGGGTACTCCGTCTCTGTGTAAAGCAGTTCCTTTCTCACCTTGTGTACTCGTCGGTAGGGCGGGTAGCAATCTTCTCGGTGGACTCAAGTCGCTGCTAACCTTGACGATGTTAGAGATCGATTGATTTGATCGCGATGAAATATTCACGTAAATGAGGGTTACGTGGGCATTCTATAACAGTCGATTTAATCACTCTTGATGTAATGGGGAAACTTTCGACTATACTGATAACAGTATATTCTACCTTCACTGATGACAGTGAAGGCAGGTGCCTCAATTACCTCTCTTACACAAGAGGCAGAGGAAGCTTTACTTCTAAACGACATGCTTAGAAGTAGAGGAAAAGAAAAACTGTATTGAATATAGTTAACTATCTAATAAAACTAATCTGTTATAACCTATGTTAACTGTATTTAACTACAACTATGTATGTTGAAAACTTGCCCTCCACTCATTGCGCGCGTCCATCGGTCATTAGTCAGCGCGTTGGTTGATATGATGGCCCATATCAACCAATGATAGGGCATCTCCAGCTTCAAGGAGATCTAGGGACAATATTATAAAAAAAGATAATATTTACAAATAGTGTCAGTTTATAAATGATTCTTATGTCTCTTATTGTTAGTGTCAATATTATGAAATAGGCTTACCCCGTTAAAAAATATATTTGCCACTGATAATATATTGTAGATTATGAATCTTATTTACGAAATTAAAATTTTTAATAAATATATTAGATATATTTACCTCTAGATATCTACCACTATATATTTACCACATGTAAATATATCTAATATATAAAATAAAAATAAATTTGTTAAATTAATTTATAATCTTTAGTTGTAACATTTGTTTATATTCCTAGAAACACATACTATATCTTTATATGGCATATCCATTTAAAATACTACTTTTTCTTTTTTTTGTTGTATGTACAAATAATTTATTTAGTGAAATTGCTAAGAATAAAATTGATTAGTTATTCAATTTGAATCCTGATTAAAAATAATGGAATCGTTTTTCAGTATTATCTACCATATCATAAAACACCTTTTCACTAAAAATTCATATAGTCATATATTTCCTATTGAAAAAGATTAGTAAATATTTCACATGGTTAGATATATTATGATTGCTTCATTTTAGAATATTCTTAAAAAGGAAAACCTATCCTGTGACTATTCAAAATGGCTCGCAGCAATGCGATCGCAAAAGAACTTGTCGGTCGCTTCGTTTAGGTTCCGAGGCAAAGGCACTGCTTCATGACACAATATTTTGTGCCTGGAAAGAGGTCGGTCTCGTGTCGAATACCTTTTTTTAGGTAGCTTGCAAGGAAAGGATTCAGGGAATACGTCCTTTAACTTGACCAAATCCTTGTACAGAGTATTTAACTATAACGACTCCGAGCATTGCGATGTGTATCGCTCAATCCGAGTCTTCTCATTTAAGAGTACTTTCGTCCATTGATGAGCTGCTGAGAAGCCGTTTGTTCTCAAAAAACTTAATTGCTGAGGTAATGGGGTCACCTGTTACATAAGTAATTATAGGATGAAAACATGATTACTTCTATAGGCATAGGGCAGCATTCGCCCTATGCCTACTTAAGTGACGTCATTATATTATTGGGGCGTCACACCCAATAATTAGCCAATAATAAATTGAAGTCCTTTTTAGTGTTTCCCATGAGCTGGCTTCGATTAAGGATGTATGTTGCATATTCTGCAGCATCACCCCAAACTTTAGGGGCAACCTATTTGCAGATGACATGCTTCGCACCATATTCATGATGGTGCGATTCATCCGTTCAGCTTTGCCATTGCTAGCCTGGTTGTCGCGCTCGCTCACTTGACGAGATACACCGTCTTCCTTGCTAACATATTCAGAGACTTGTACTTTCCTCTACCATCTGTAAGTAGGACGTGTATACGGTAAATAAATTGACGCTCGAAAGCCACCAAGAAATGCTTGAAGTGCATCGCAACGGTATCCTTGGTCTTTTCTAGGAATACTCTGCAATAATTCGAACGATGGTCACTAAAATTTACCAAGTATCGATTAATGAGACGATCACGGGGTGTCATAGGACCTTTAAGGGCCGAACATACCACACCCCCAATCACGTCAATGGGCGAGCTCAGTCTACTGTCCATTCGAGATTATCGGTTCTTTGTTTGCTTGCCTGTGCACCGGCCAAGCAGTTAACGCGCTAAGTATCGGTCAATTTACCAGAGGCGAGGTCTCGAATTGACGAGACCTCGCCTCGTCTCGAATTGACGATGGTGTCGTAGGGGAGGTGTCAAAAGCATCGGTGAAAATAGACCAAAGTTTCCTGTTGAGCATATGTATTTGCGCTAATATTGATGTCGTCACGATTGAAATGGATCGTGTCCCGCGGAGATTTAAATCCTTGAGAATCGCCCGGAGAAGAAACTTCAAAAACTTCAATAATCAATACATCGTTGATTCGATTAACGTTTAACATGGTGCACCACTAGGATGAGACACTATGACACGCCTACCTTCTCGATATTCAAGAACGCATCCCTTCTCTAGTTTCCCGAAAGAAATGATGTTACGTTCCAAGTTGGGTGCGTATTGAACATCGAGAAGCCGAATCGCCTTTGTGGTGCCAAGTGCATTGACCAGGATGACCACGCTGCCCTTCTTAATTACCCGAAATAGACCACTTTCCGAGGCAGCATTGAGGCATACGGCCTTGCAATCGACTGCATCGTCAAGCAATCTTGAGTCATTGACCAAATGACGTACCGAACCGCTGTTTAGCGCCCAGTGGCTTGGCGAACGATAAGGGGTATCTTGAACGACCAAAACAAAATCCGCATCTTATTTCTTGCTGACCTTCTTCGGACACGCTGCCTTCAAATATCCGGTGTTGCTTACTTTTCAAAAAGATAAGAAGACGCAGCCGAGTACTACCACCAAAATATTGAGCTTCTATAGTCGCTTCCTGATGATGACACAGTCATGTATACGACCGGGTCGAGAGCTGATAAGGCGAAACCATAAGCGAACCGAGCGGCCTCTCTGATGATGCTGATGCAGCTAGCTGAAGCACAGTGCGAATGTCGGCGATCTATTGAGGGCGACGCGACAAATGCACGCGCGTATCTATGACTTGGTCGTATACCAGTGCTACTTGGCGATTATGCTAACGCACAAACGAACATTGATACTGCGAGGCACTTGATGGAAGGGCCAAACAATAAAGCAAGTAGTGGTGACGAAGCATATTACGCGTCACTTACCAAGATGAAAGCAAAATCAAGGAATTGACGACGTTACAAAGAGAGATAAAGTGGTACGTCGATTGTCGAAGCTTCGAACAAGCTCTCGTGCAGACCAAATTTAGCTTTGGCACTTGCAACACGCTCTTGGAAGTTACAGATGACAAGGCTCTCATTTTGCTTCACCAAAAGTGAGTATTTATTTAATGTACTCGCGGAGTACTA